CCATATTCACCCGATCTTACACATATTATAATTTCGTTTGTTCATTACGATAGTTAGATTCGAAAATACTGATAAATTCAGTATAAATTGTACTATATGATTTTCATAACTAGAACTTCATGTTCTAAGTCCAAAGGAATTTCAAAGTACGGAGTCTTCTTGTTACCAAGGTAAAGGAGTTTCTGGTAGAGCTTGTCTAAGCTGAAATGACACGCGTAGGTACTATCTTATTTCCGCACACACGCAAATTTCAAATACGGATGCAATACACATAAAAATGCCATTGTAAGGCCGGCCACATACATACGGGATTCCGTTTCAGAATTCCGAAAAGAAAACATAGAATTATTAGACCATCCGCCGTACAACCCCGACCTAAGCCCTAATGATTTCTATCATCATTATCATTACAGCCCTTCACAAGTCCACTGCTGAACGTAGGCCTCCCCCAAGCAATGCCACAAAGCACGGTCCTGAGCCACCTGCATCCATCGACTTCCTGCATATCTTACCAGGTCGTCACTCCATCTAGTGGGGGGTCGCCCTACACTACGCCTACCGGTACGAGGCTGCCACTCGAGAACCTTTCTTCCCCATCGGTTATCGGTTCTTCGAGCTACATGGCCGGCCCATTGCCACTTCAGCTTACTAATCCGTTGGGCTATATCGGTCACTCTGGTTTTACTGCGGATATCCTCATTTCTTAGTCTATCACGCAGAGAAACTCCGAGCATAGCCCTCTCCATAGCTCGCTGAGCGACCTTGAGCGTCCTCATACGGCCAGCAGTGATGGACCACGTCTCAGATCCGTAAGTCATCACTGGCAGCACGCACTGGTTGTACACTTTAGTTTTCAGAGATTGAGGTATACCTGACGAGAAGATGTGTCATAATTTCCCGAACGCTGCCCAGGCGAGTTGAATCCGTCGATTGACCTCTCGGTCGAAGTTGGGCTTACCTAGTCGGACTATTTGTCCCAGGTTAACGTACTCGTCAACAACTTCGAGCATAGTGCTCCCAACAACTACCGATTTCTATACTTTCCCTAAAATAAAGAATAAATTGCGTGGACAGAGATTTTCATCACTTGAAGAAGCTGTGGACGCATACAAAACGGCCATTTTGGAGACCCGAACTCCCCCGAACCCCAACTTCCGAATGGAATGGTTGCTTCAATGATTGTTTCCATCGTATGGATAAATGTGACAAATTTCGCGGAGAATACTTCACAAAACAAAAAAACCTCGTATATACCAAAAAAAAAAAAAAAAAAAACACGATGATGTCGTGAGGAATCGTTAGTGTTAAATAAAATTGATTCTATTCTATTCCGTTAACAAATTAATTGTTACTGTTATTAAAAATTGTATTCTTTACATGGTAGAGCCACGCTGCAGTTTACCCTCCCGTACATTAGTCATAAATTACCTAAACGCGCGCGAGAGAGTAGAACTTTTGTTTCATACAATGCGACAGCGCTGCTCCATGAAGTAAGGTCGTTATTGATATTTGTACTCACTCATCTAAACCGACTAATTAAATAGTGTAGTAATTTCAAATTAGACACGTACAAGAGTTTTATTAATTAAAACACACACCAAAGAGGTAACCCTAATGTGAAAGTTATCTATGGAGATTTTTATTAAATATTCACAATTAAGCCTCTTACTATGACTATAAAACATTGAAGCAATCAACTCCCCGTTACCAAAATAAGGTGTTGAGTTCATTCACTCCTCTCACAACCGTCATCTTCGTTCCACTTTTACTGAAAATCTCTCTCTTAGTATTCCAGTACATTCATCATTTTCCTACATTTTGTTATAGCCGATAGCCATAGATATACACAGATTAGATTGAGCGTTAGCCTCACAAAAGTTACCATTCTCTAGAAAGAGACAAAGCAACTACGCGGCAAATATCCGTCCCTTTCCTGCAAGCCGAAGGCCGAAGGTGCGGTGCCCCCAAAGAAATGACAAAACGATAAAGAAACGACGCCAGTGACGTGGACCAATCTGAATTCTATAGAAAGAGACAACTACTGGCCGCACATTCGCTTTGTCTCTCCAGCACTTTTTGGTCTGTATTCTCTAGTACATAGTCAGTAATCTATGGTCTGTATTCAATGCACAACTGAATACGGAACGCATAGCACATTCTCTCTATGTCTATGGTTACAGCTGTACACTTGTGTCCTAACTTTACATATTCGACGTGCTGAATCCTATTTTCTTTCGAAAGTCTGCTTGAAGCTTAATTTTCAACTTTTATTATTTCCCGTTATGCTTCCCATTCTTTTTTACCTACATAAACTCAAATGTATCCATTTGTCATTTTATTTTGATTGCGTAATTTATGCACACTTCAATTTACGCCATTCTTTGTGAAAGGATGTTAGAGAAAAGGAGAACGATCGCCGTAGAAAATAGTGTCCCAGAAATATGGACACTATAAGTGAGGCACTGCGATCGCTAAGTTTTCTCAATAAAAGTCATTTTCAGTCTATTTTTCCGATCAGATGCTAAACCGCTTGCACATCCACACACAATATAGTTGTTCTTCATTTTTTAATGTTTCTTTTTGTCAGAAACAAAAAAAAAATACGAAGCATGAAAATTTTCTCACCAGTGCCGCGAAGAAAATTTGTACATTATTCGCAGCCACTACTCACCGACGTCAGCGCTGCTATAAATTCTACAAATTTTCAAGGACAGGCGGGCTATGCTTTAGTACGTAGCGAACGTTCTCCTGTTCTCTAACCTCCATGTGAACAATAGTTCTATGCGTAATCTACATAACTCCTTTGTAAGTTGATTTTATTCATCCTGAGGTCACGGATTCGAATCTCGAGTCGGTCCAAATAAACTATTGGGTTTTTTCTGTTAGGAAATTCTCAGTAGCAGGCCGAATGTCATGAAGTTGACGGCGTTACACTCCAGTGTCTCGGAAAGCATGTACAGCTATTACTTTTGCGCCTGATCTCCCTCCGGTCACGTCGAAATATCTTCCCATCGGAATATGAGGGTGAGGGAATAGAGTTCACCTGTACTTGCGCATACACCCGGGTGCTATAATCCTGTTCTGCGCAGATGGCTAGACCCCGTCGAGGCTGTCCCCCGTGACCAAAGTTCGGTCTGGAGGCCATTAATATAACTTTATAAATTTTTTTGTTTTTGTTTTTTGGAAATATGTATTGATTGATAGATTGTTCCATTAATCTTACATTTGCCTACTTGTATAAACAACAGCTTATTTATATAAAACTTGTTGAGTTTTCTTTTTAAATTGTTCATTACTATTTCAAATTAGAATAAAATACTACTAAATACGTATCTCAAGCCACTTCTTGTAACTTGTTGAGCGTAGTTTATTTTTATATCTGTGATTGTATCTCTCTCTGACGCTGTCTGTTTTTAACTGTATTTGTAATGTACCCCTAACTTCTGCATTTCCCCAGATATTGTTATAACTTATAAATTTTTACGTTCTCATGATAATTCAATTTTGGATTCTTAGTGAGAATAAAGGTCTTAAACCATATATGAAAGGAGAAGTAATTAGAATGAGAGATAAACTGGGATTCCCCGAGCATCCTCCTACTGACAGAGTGCTACTTACTGCATCGTTACGTATATTTACATCACTCAAAATTAAGAGCAAAACTTACTGAAACTTAACTCTTAGAGCCGACCTCTCTCTGTCGAAAATTAAACACAAGTTTTCGAAAATATTCTTTATTACAATTCAAACATATTCTTAAAGTTAATACAAACAATATAACATTAGCAGACATTCGACTCGCGACTGGAACTTCGCTAACAAACAGTTAAAGATTTATTTCTACATTACAAAAGGGACTTTACAACAATGGCATAACGTATTTTATCGCTAATCGCGTACATCGTACATTCACAACTACAAATGCAACCACGCACACGCGCATTTACGCACAATTTAGCGAGGTCCCAGTCCGTTAGTCCGTTGGGCTTGAAACTATACAAAAACCGCATCATAATTAAGAAAGGTTTCGTTCTTCTCTTTCAGATTTTATACTTAAGAGGTGCATTTAAAAACTGTATGAACGGCAATTTCATTTTTTTTTGCACTTCATGTGCAGTAAATACGTCTTTTAAGGAAACAATTCTAGAAACCCGACAATAATGGTTTTACTGCTTTCGTGTAGTTTCAACCGTTTATTAACAAATTTGCACACTTCTAAAAGTAACCCTGACTAAATAGGGCCAACTATTCAATTTAACAAAAAATCATTTATGTATTATTTTCCTAACAATAGAAATAAATGTTGTAATTGACTAAACAAAACCCAACCTAGTTTGAGTGAGCAGTCGACGCTGTAATTACAGATTATACAAATTACAAACACATTGATCAAAATTACACTTAAACGAAATCTGTTGAGGACATACATGGACTTTTCCATACATTGTTTTAATTTTTAAATGCGTTGACAAGGCCAGGATTCAGAAACAGTCTCGAGTATGAACTCAAACTTCACAATATCAACATATGACACTATACGACACTAATTTCGACATAAGAGTTCAATTTAGAAATTTTCTATTCCATAAATTCCGGTGTTAGAACTCATAATATGACTCGAAAGTACATTGTAGCTTAACCGTAGGAAAATTAATATTAAATAAAATGATTGAAAAAATAGCAATGGTTAGATGTAGAGAGTAAACAATTTATTTAGAATGTGTAATTTTATTTTCCTTCGATTAGTTGCTAATTTAAATACCATAATTTTGAACATTTAAAAATATTTACATTATGTCAAATAAAACAATGGGAGAATATTATTGCTACGATATTATTCAGATTTTAAGGAAATATTATTAACAATGGAGGCCGAACGGTGTGCGGCATTTGTCACTAAGATTTTTTTTTACGAAATGGCGCCAAATTTTACTTTTTTTTACAAAGTGGCGCCAAATTTATCAATAGTTTTTTTTTTTAATTACATGGCTGAAGTCAGTTCAGACTCGCTGTAAGTGCAACGGCGCACGCAGACAGTCGACGCACAGTTCAGACGCCTGCTCCGCTAGGTCGGTGGTCACCTGTGAGTGCAGCTGCGTCAGTTGTTTACAAGTAGTCAGTCGTTAAATCATGAATTGAATTTTTATGTATATTTACACATTTGCGGCATTCTAGGCACTTGATTTAATTTTAGTTAGTCTCATTCGTTCATTAGATCCATTTTTTACGTGATAGAGCCACGTTGCAGCAACATTGGTTGTAGGACGAATGGGTCGGCTCGTCCGGGGAAGGACAACGCCCTCACAGATACCAAGTAGCAGCAGAACGCCGTTGTATTTCATATGGTGAGTGTAGAGAACTGGAGACTCTTTTTTACAGGTAACGAGACATTCCATCTTAGTCCTCAGGGGTGACAACGCATCTGCGTTTTGATTCTTGATCGAGGATAAATATAGATGTGTATAGGTCACAGCTTCCACTTACCATCAGGTGGATTGTGCGCTCGTTTGTCACTCCTTTTCTATAAAAAAATGCTGTCTTTCTGCACTGCTGTACTGCTACACTGCTGCACAATATACCTTGTGGTGTGCTCGTGCGGTGCAGTCGGGCGGCAGCTGCAGGCTCCGCAGCAGCGCCGCCAGGTGTCCCGGTGACGGCCCACCAGCCAGCGCCAGCTGCACCAGCCGCGCTCCCATCTCGCTGCGAGCGGCCGCCTGCCGGCCCGTGCTGTACCACCACAGATTAAATAATGTTACAACGTAACAGATACATCACTCCCACACAAAAGTGGAATAACCTACGCTTTAATAGCTCACAATATTATAACAGTAATCCCAGCTGTTAACTGCAAGCAGAAAAATATACCTTCTGCACGCGTTCAGAGAGTTGAAGATGCTTTACCAACATAGCGACCTTCGTATGCATCATATCACCTGCGTCATTGAGCGATCGCGCAAGGGTTGTGCACTTTGAGCATAAAACCTAAAGAAATGACATCGCAAGGCTATACCTCTCTGTCAAAGGTACGAGGGTCTGACTCATAGGCGTTTTATAAAACTAATTGCCCCGCGTCTTCCGCCATTATGTAAGTCATCGCGTCAGTCAATCGAGCTTTGACAAAAATGATGAATTGCAGTGTATTTTCATGCAATGAAAAATATGTTTTCTAAATATTTTCGTTAAATAACAAGTGTTGCCATCATAGTTCATGAAGTGAAAAGTAAGCTATTTTTTAATAAATATAATTTATTACGCATGTTAAATATCATAGTAAAGAAAATTTATTTCCCATCTAAATTAGTTTATGGTGACTAAAAATCATTACATAAACAATCTGAATCTGAATATTATTTAATTTAATATAGTCAATAACTAGTATTTATCAAAATAAAGGCCAAATAAGTCGAATCGACGCTTGTCATCTCGCATCAAAAGGATGCAATTTTCATAAAATAAACTGGTATCACTGCAACCGAAAGTACTGCAATATAGTGATGTGCTATCGTTAAGTTCCATTCTGGTTTGTCTCCCGCGCCGGTTTTATTAGTTTTTGTTTAGATTTCGTAATAAAGTATTACAAAAAGCAGTAAATTTTTCTACTATTGGTATGATTTTACAGATTTCCCAAGAGATCCTCTTAGGCAGCAGACTTGGATTGCAGCTTGTAGAAATCATGAATCTATAATACCTATACGGATTAGAACCGTTTGCTCCTCACATTTTTGTAAATCCTATTTTATACCCAAGCTAACATTAAAAAAAAGGTTAGCCGACACCAACCTTGAACTTGTGGGAGTTAATGTCAAGCTGTAATTATATATTTTTTACCCTTGTAACCAATATACCAATATATTATCTTATGGCTGCGCGTAAAAAGCGACGACCATCCATCCTCACGTCTACGGATGCCTCTATAGGTCCCATAGCGGTAATGCCGAAACAGACCGACTCATCGACCACGTCCAGATGGCTACAGACTCCGTGCTACAATAGATCCCATCCGCAGAGATCGTGAGACTTAGTGATTTTAACGCCCGCCATGCTGAATGGCTTGGTTCTCGTTTAACCGCTCATGCGACTAGAACTGTTTGTGAATTTGCTTTGGCACATGGTCTGACACAACAACACAACAAAGATCATGTACCTTCCCTATTGGACCTTCTGCTGCTTTCTGCCTGTCATCAGGACGGATATCAGGTCTCCGTCGATGCCCCTCTTGGCTCCTCGAACTATTGTCTGATGCGGAGTACGGTGCCCTTCACGCTCTAATCTCGGTTGCGTTCTACAGGTTGCCACAGTGTTTTGCATTATAGGTCAGCCGATAGGGATGGGATGCGATCTTTGTGTGAACGAGCGAGTTTAGTTCAGTTCATTTATTTTCATTCATTTCAGTATTTCATGCCGGCACACCGCCTGCGACTTTACGAGGCGCAGGTTCGGCCACACATGGAATACTGTTCCCATCTCTGGGCTGGGGCTCCCCAGTACCAGCTCCTTCCACTTGACCGCATCCAGCGCAGAGCGGCTCGAATCGTCGACGACCGAGTGCTTTCCGATCGGCTCGATTCACTGGCACTGCGAAGAGATGTCACATCTCTTTGCATTTTATTTCGTATATACCATGGAGAGTGCTCTGAGGAATTGTTCGGATTAATCCCAGCCGCCAAATTTCGTGAACGCACTACGCGGCTAACGTCCCGATACCATGCACACCATCTGGATGATTGGCGGTCCACCACTGTACGTTTCAAAAGGAGTTTTCTTCCGCGTACAACCTCTCTGTGGAATAGTTTACCACCGGCGATTTTTCCGGACCGAAACGACCTGGGGACCTTCAAGAAAAGAGCTTGCTCCTTTCTAAAGGGCCGGCAACGCACCTGCAATTCCCCTGGTGTTGCGGTTGATCATGGGCGGCGGTAGTCACTTAACATCAGGTGAGCTGTATGCTCGTTTGTCCCCACTTCTGTAAAAAAAATAAAAAAAAAGTTCATAAATTGACAGGACGCAAGGATTGCGCGTCAAAATTTATAACTGTACTTTTATAATTAAACTCGCAACAAAGTTTGTACGGTACTGTTTATTGAATATTTATACGTTTTATATTGAGTTTTAATAATGAAATTGACGGAAGATATCACGTATAAATTGGTACAGGAGTATTAAGAACATAAATGTTTATATAATAGTCGAATTTCAAATTATAGAATTAAAACCGGCTCGAGATGCTGCACTCATGAAGATTCTTAAAAACTTCTTTAACAACAACTTGTTGTATTTCTCTGACTATATCATTTAATTCTTGATGTAATCCCAGATCAATCTTAAACGAAAACAAGAAAAATTCTGTAGTCTTGTAATGTCACACTCAAACGAACTCTATGAACTAATGTCCGTAACTAAACTCGCCACGAAGACATCTGAACGCTACTGTTCACTTAACCGTTTACTGTCAACTGTCCTGCAACTAAACTCGCTACTGTACTTGTCGAAGTGTAAATCGGTCTTACACGCCGCTTGGGTTAGTCAAACGGGACACGCGCCTCTGCCTCTATCTTTGAGCTCTAACTTCATGGACCTCCGAGTTAGTTTGCTCTATTTGTCAGGACTTGTTAACAGAGCACCAATAAATAAAAAAGTAAAACATTTCTTTTTTTTTATGTGTGGGTAATTGAAGAAAAAAAATATGAAAATTGCTTTATTTGTGTAATGGAACTTCAAAAAAACATCGGATAAGTTTTTGCAGTGCGTTGTCACTTTTTTAGCTCTTCTTGCAGTTTTTAAAAGATTTTCAATGTCAATAAGTTTTTTATAACACCCAAAGCAACGTCTTCGTTTAGTGATAATGGGTTCTAAAAATGTGATTACCTATTGGATCCTAACAGTGTACTTGCGGATGATGAAGACAGGCTTTCAAATGGCATTTGTCTCAACATTTTGTTTACTTTCGAACTAGACGTTCACAAGTCCACGGTACGCGCCAAGTTTACACACTATTTCAACTCGATAGGTTCAAGAGGTAACGAAAACCGGATAATTAGTTATTTATGTAGGCTAACTATACAAAATTAGTCATTTTGAATCAATTTTATTAAGAATATTACAAAAACTGATTTGAACATCTGGGGTTATCGAAAAATTCTGTATGGGGACAGTTTTGATATTCGATGATCATCGATGTTAAAAATTAAAACATCGATGTTGTCACATGTCAAACATCGAAACATCGATGTAAATGAATCCATAATCTATTATTGAAAGATTATGGGTATGTTCCGAAATACAACACAGTACACTGTCGAATGCGAATGAAGTCATTAATTGACGTCGTATTCCACCATATTCGATACAACGAATCACCAATATGGCGTCGATTTATGACGTGATTCGCATTCGACAGTGTACTGTGTTGTATTTCGGAACATACCCCAAATTTAAAAGGTGGTTCAATTCTTTATTAACAGAGAAACAGAAAGGTACTTCCTTGTCAAAATAACTATCTCTTTAATCTATAGCAATAATATTGGTTCGTATAACAAATGCACTAGATATTTGGTAACACGTTGAACGCCACGCAAAAAATCTAGACTTTCCGTTCTGGCCATGGTGTTCACCGGTGAGCCTTACCTAGTTGTTCCATTCAGGCCACGGGAGTCACCGGTGAGCCGCGCAAGAGGTTCACTGTAAACGGGTCTCACAAGCCACAGATTTCAGTTATTAAACAAAACACGTATGGAAGTGAGCCGCGTGGCCTCTGGGGCTGCTCCAGTCGACGTGGTTTTCAAATCCCATAGAAACTTGTAGTTGTATCAAACGTAAAGTCCTAAATACGATCTTAGTGATACGATCGTGCCTTATTTTTTTTTGTTTGTATAAATAGCGCGAATAAAACAAAAAATAATAATAATTATATGTTTATTACATTAAAAATAACTAAAAATAATTAAATCATCGGTTAATCGAACTTAACGTGGTACTTCTTTAACAACAAAATCAACTTAAAATAATTAAATTCTTCATAAACAGAACATAATAATGACGCTTTTCCTGCGATAAAATCTAAACTATATAAGTAATCATTAAATCCTATCCCTTTAAACGGTCAATTCTTGTATATATATAATCGGAATCTCGGAAACGGCTCCAAGGATTTTTATAAAACGTAGTGTTCAGGGGGTTTCGGGGCCAAAAAATCGATCTAGTTAGCATTCATTTTTCGAAAATGTCGTTTTGTCCGTGTTTTAGGCAATGAAAAATTGCTACAATATAAGAAGGTAAAGACAGTGTATTAATGATCGTAATAGCTCATGTGTGATGTATCCGGCGGTCGCGAAATCGAGGTGCCCTGGTTCGCGTCCCGTCTTCGGTTCGACTTTTTCCCTTCTTTTGTGAGAAAAATTTCGAGCCCTTTTTAAGTACTTTTTTAAAAACACGAAAATTTTAATTAAACTAATTGCACTCATGATTTTTTATTCAAATAACCAGTTCAGTTTTTTCTATTATGTCAATAAGATCATAAAATATTATTTATGTTTCATCAGTATGTAATTTGTACCTAAATATAATTTCCAAAACACACTTTCAAAAAAAAAAATCACTATTACACTTTAAATCAAATTAAAAATCAACTATTATAAAAACAACATTATGAATGATCTAAAACAAGGTAAGCAAGGAGAAGGTTGGTCTCCACTAGATATTTTTAGCGCTTAGATATTTAAAAAAGTGCT